AGGCACAAAGAACTAAAATAATTATTCAAGTTTAATAAACTTTGACTCATCCCACTCATCTGAAGTCTTCTGTTGCTGGCAGACATGATGCTGTTGGTTTTAGTGGATCCATGTGAGATGCAAGTGTGGTTAAATGTGTTCTTCTGAGGGGAAAAGTGGTTCTCTGCCCACCTTTGACTGCTTCTCCCAGGCAAAGACGATAAATACCTGTGAATACCACAGTGACGGTTGATGAGGAGTGAATGACAATAAATCTCTCTTATTTTGCCTTTGAAAGCCAGCTATGTGGAGGTGTCTGACGTTTTTCTACTCTTTGTAAAATAGACTTCCATGACCATTAGCCAGCGGAGTGAAATAATACAAGGTTTATTTCTCGACCCTTCTGAAAGCAAAAAGACCATTCACAAGTTTTCTGTTGGCTGTTTGGCAAAAAATAAAAATAGAAAATGAGACATGAAAGGATTTACTGTTTTCTGCATTTAGTGCGGCATTATAATTTTAAGCTGCTTTAGCTCTGTGTAAGCATATCTTCTCTAGAGCGGTCAGGAGGACTCAAACACATGAGATTCAAAGTTTGTTTCCTCTTCACTTGGGGAATTCGAGGTCTACAGCTGTTTTTTGTGTGCTCTTGTGATTTGATACATTTTTTTTAAATTACATATACCAGCACTAACATTGGTATGGAATGATATTAGTCATTTTTTTTACCCTATCGGTCCGATAAATAAGATTGGATCTATATTATTGACCAATATTTATTCCCATCTTGTTGTTGTTTGTTTCGGGAGCATGACGGGAGGAAGTCGGTCATGTGTTATTTGTTTGGTCATGTGACAGTGATAGTGAGGCAGCGCAGGATTGTGGGGAGTTCACCTGAAGCAGAAAGCAGTATTGAAGCCATTTTCCCCCAAGATGTCAACAGTAGTAAAATATGACATCAGACATAACAGCCATATTGGTATCGACCCACATTTTCCCAATTAATTCCAGTATTTCCTACAATTACTTCTTCATCTTAGTATAATGCTAGGACTTCTGTTTGACATCATAAAATAAACAGTTACACTACAACCAGCCTATATGTACAATTTGGAGGAGTGTGTGCCTTTCCCCAGCTGGTAGTCCAGCATATATTGATTTCTATCATTGTTATCATGGAAAATTGTGGACTGTTCATTCTGGTTGCTTAGTAAACTCCTTTTACTTGCAACTGGCTGCAATGACTTAATGTGCATAGCAGCCAGTCCAGTGTGGCCATGAAGAGGTCGTATGCTCAGACTGAGGCCAGTGTTGGAAGTCATGCTTTCAAACCTCTGACCGATCTATTTTGTTGCTCATGTGCCACATGTCATGGATAAGGCGACGCTCCTGCTAGCAGACACCTACATGCTCCTGATATGCAGCTGTCAGGATAAGCCGCCACAATCCCACCGTAGCAGCTTTGTACATGCTGCAGACTTTCTAACAAGTCTTCACTTGTTAGACGGGAAACACACAAGCCTTCTTGAAGAACTCCAGGGAAACCTGCCAAGATCATCTGCACTCTGGCCGATTTTTCACATTGTGCTGCAGTCTTAATCCGAAGGCAAAAGGGGCCCAACAGATGGTGCCAGAATTGCCCAAAATAGATGAGCTGAGCGATTGAGGGGCGTTCAAGGACTGATGTGAGGCAACGTGAATGTAGGTTGAACCTATCATCAAACTCCATGCAGGATTACGGTAGAATCAGATGATTATTTGCTTTCATCCTAATCTGCATGAAAAATAATACTCAAATAATCAAAATAAAACCCAAGCTTAAAGTGATAGATTAAAGAGTTTGTTTGGTTGGATCTGGTGCCGGATTGTTAAAAGCTTCACTAACTCTGTATATTAGTCTGTGTGCGTTTCATCGAGAGTGTAGTCTCTTACCCTAATTTTGAGATTTTCCAATAGACTTCCCTCGGCTTCCCTTGTTTTTGTTGTGATAGAATAAAAGTGATAAAAACTATTAATGACCTCTTTGCAGTCTTTTTCTTAAGTGACAGCATGGCTAGGATTGCATGTCAGAGAAATAGGACAGTATTATAGCCCCCCACAAACAAACACTGCTTTTTATAAACATACCCATTTTTAATAGATCGCTTGTATTAATTAAGTGTGATTTTTATCACTAAATTGCACATAGTAGCTGCATTAGTTATATTTTCAGAGATTGGAAACATTAGACTCTTAGGACTCTGTTTATGCAAATCTGAGAATAATTACTCGGCATTTTTTACATGTCTCTCTTTACATCAAAGTTTTATTTTGTGTTAATAAACATGGTTATTTATTTGAAGGCTTACAAAAGCCTTCAAATATGTTTATCTAAATACATTAAATCAAACGTCTTCGTACCGCCAAATGAGCCGTTGCTAAATTCCTCTGGAGCCGGGTGCGAATTGACGTCCTGTATTCTCGAAAACGTGAAACTCCCCGTTGTTATAACAAGTGTCTAAATTGCCTTTCATGGACAAATAGAAAGTTTGTCAAGACTGGCGATTGTTGTTGTGCGTAGGTATGGCGCATTCACTGATCATCTGAAAGAATCTGGGCGGTGGGAGATAAAAGTTTGACCTAAACTGGGTTGACGGTTCCATCACCCACTCTGTCCATCTCAGTTGCTGTCCTTGGGCAAGACACTTCACCCGCCTTCCCCGCTGGTCCGGGGGCTCAGTGGCGCCGAATGTATCAAGTCTCTCTTCTGTCAGTCTGACCCAGGGCAGCTGTGGCTACAATGTAGCTCACCACAATTAACGTGTGAATGTGTGTAGTGTAGTGAATGTAGTGTGAAGCGATTTGGGATTCTTTAGATAATGCAACTAAAAACAAAAATAAATGAAAGAAAGTAATTCTCACATAAAAATTTCAAATTTCTATTGGAGCTTGATTGCTAACTTAATTGTTCTCAGTTTATTTTTTATCGAAGTTTGGGTGTTCAGTTTTGATGCTATAATGTCGTCCAGTTTATTGAGGTTTTTTTTTAACTTGTGGAATCAATATGTCATCTATAAATAGGTTCAAAAACATCAAATTTGCCTTTTTGTTTATCATGAATGTATATTCTCACATCCAGAAAAGCACAGAGAAAGTCATTTTTCCTGGGCGTAATAGATTTATATTTGCTAAATGTCAGAATATTTAGAGAGATTTTTTTATTGCTTTGTTTACATGCACTAATAATACTAATATTAGTGCCTTTAAACTGCCTGGCAAGCCCAGATAAAGATGTTGCTTTGTTTTCCTCTGAAGTCACGTTATTTGAGTTAAATGGAGGCAGACTTCTGAATGTGTTGTAAGGTAACGCCTCAAAACAAAACAAAACAAAAAAAACACTTTGAGGCGCTACCTTCCATGATGTCCTTGCATGACATCATGGAAAATGGATATAAATTTTAGATGCCTTAAGTTGTCACACTCATCTATTCAAACAGTGATATGAGAGTGAAAACGTAGTGAGTCTCCTCAGCCATCATACGGTTTGGTCTGAAACAAGTAGTCAAATTACTCGTGATTGATAATTGAAATAGTCATCGACCAATTTAGAAATCGATTAATCGTTAAAGGGAGTATAGAGACTCAAAAAACGGCCATTTACTGGACGGACAAAACGATCAAAGCAGTCATTAAGTCAAAACTGTGCAAAAAAAATTTATATAAATTTTGCATTTTAGATGGAAAAGCTTCTTTGTCTGTAAATATGTTCTGTATATAACTCCGCAAATGCAATAGTTTTAGTTTTCCCTGGTTTGAAATCTGAAAAAAAATCCAACTTTGTGCACCTTTTGCTATCCATTTATTAACCCAAAGAATAATCAACGGGTTAGTAGTCTGTACTTTTGCATCTTTTGCATGATCAAGCGTACACTAAGCTGTATTGTTGCATTGCATTTTTATTTTCTTACTCAAAACAGTAATTGAAATATTTGCTTAGCTGCATTATTTTTAATGACTTTCTAATATTGACTTGAGTGGTTTCATGAATGATCTGAAGAATGTGACGATTTATTTATTTGATTAATCGTCAGACTAAACGATACAATAATCGATTCTGTAATCATTAGTTGCAGCTCTTTATGCTGTTTGGGAAATGAGGTGCATTCGGTGATTTGATTGAGATGTTTTGGTTTGAACTGTGTAATTTAACCCCAGAACAAAAGGGTAGTGGCAGCATCAGCATCTGTGGGTATTCTGCTTCAGGAAGAAAAGCTGTGCTTCTCAAAATGATTGAAATTATGTGGAAGGAACATTAAATGGAAATATTGAAGCTACACATCAGGCACAAATTGTTGCGTGTTTAAAATACACAGTGACCCTAATCACACCACCAGATTAATTATAAAGTAAATGGGTTCAAACCCCCAGCAAAGTATCGAGAAGCTTGCAGACAGTAAGGACAAAGAGGGTGTGTGTATGTTTTAGTGAAGGTAAATAATTGGCTTCAACTGTAGACGCGCACACACACACACACACACGCACACACGCACTGCATCTGCTGTTGCTGTTGCTGGCAATCAGGCCGTACGTAAAGCTTTCCAGACTTTCTGAGAACAATGCTCACCACCTCTGTGTGTGTGAGATGGAGGTAATCTGTGAATGACGATTTAGTTTGGCTAATGTTTGACTGGGATCCACTTGGTGTGTGTGTGTGTGTGTGTGTGTGTGTGAGAGCGAGAGACTCGTGATGTTTGAAGCTGTCAACGTTCTTCATCACATGCTCCGTCATATTGCACAGAGGCGACTGGTGAGATGAAGCAGCTGTCCCTGTTTCTGGTCACACCAAGGTCAGCGTGCTTGAAGACATGCATGCAAAAGCAAACACAAACATTCACACGCGCGCACACACACACACACACACACACAGAGACACACTTGGTTTTCATTGCTCCTGTGCTGAAAATGCTACTTATTGGATGCTCTGACTATCTGACATTAATCTCTCCTCCTTTTTTTTTTTTTTTTTTTTGTCTGTCTTCCAGGTGGAGGAGGCAAGAGGAATGGCCGCAGTAAGAAATGGAAGGAGATGCTTAAACTCCCGCACATCAGCCAATGCGAGGAGCTTCGACGAACTATCGGTATGAGCGGCGAGCGCCCGTGGTGTCGTTGGGTTGTCGGGGTGTGTCTGACTTCGGGGAGAAGTTCATGTTGGACTTCCTTCCTGTTTCTCTTCGTCTCCACCCATGGTAACGGGCGGAGTGGTGGGGGGCAGGAAACTGGGCGTGTGCGAGTGTGAACGTCTGGGGTGGGAGACTATCGGTGTCGAGATGACTGCTCACACGTTAAATCAGAACATGTGGCCCGCTTCCTACCTTTAACACCACAGGTGAATTTGTGGTGCGACCGGCCCCGTTGGGTTAGATTACAGTGCAACCATCGTGGTGGTTCTGTGGATGCCACACCACACCAGAGAGAGTGTGTGTGTGTGTAGTTGTGCGTCACAGCTCTCGCTGCCAAAGATTGCAGGGCTACCCTCCCCCACATGCTCTCATGCCCTCCCTCTTCTCTATCTCCATGCGTACCTCCACCACTATCTGCATCTCTCTCTTTCTCTCTCTCCTTCAATCTTTTAGCCACTTCAGAGAGGGGCTTAAGAGGAGAGTCGTGGACGGAGAGGCCATTTACAGCAGCAGGAGAGATCTTTTGAGGACAGGATGGATAAGAGCAGGCCCGGGTGAAAGGGATGTAGGTGTATATACACTCCCTTTGGTGATATCTTACTCAGCACTGATTGTGCTTCTTGTCAGCTTGTTCACACAACCCTCACAAAATAACTCGCACAACCCCCTGAATCCGTCAGTTCTCAAGACACCTTAAAGGCAGAATATGTTCTCGTTCCCATTAGAACTAGAACTTTGCGATCCAGATTTGGACTGGAGGTGTGAGCGTGCGCTTCCCAGCTGTAGGAGTTTACATATGTCAGCAATTCATGCACGTTGTTGTGTAATTTCCCTATCGCGCGGAGCATGAGATCAAAACATTCCCCCTTGTGTACGCTAGCTGGTAGACGTGTAGCATTGTGCAAGGATACAGTAAAGCGACTGATAGAAGTGTCTTTGTTGTGTCTTGATAATGTCAGGCGTTTGACCTTAACCTTGACAAGCGACTGGTAGTTTTGGTAAACCCAGATTCCACTATACGTGCTGCTGCCTCTTTGTCTGCCCGCCTCAGACCTCTGTGCTTCCTTATCTCCATCCATCCAGCTTTTTTTTTTCTGCCGTTCAGTTTTATACAGTAGACATATTTGTGCTGCCAACCAATTAAAATGCCAGCAATTGTTCTTCCTGTAGAAAACGGGTAACTTAGTCTCCCAGTACTCACTGATGCTGGGGCAACTTACTCCGCTGAACATGCATACAGGTAGTTGTGAAGGTGTTCGGGGCCCACCTGACAGATATGATAAATGTTATTTTCTGGTTCCTAGAGCGCCCCTTTCTTTACTGCTGCCCTGGGCAGCTGCCCATACGGGCCATATGAAAAGCCACATTAGGCCTGCCACAATAAATCAATTGCGTGATAAATTAAAACTGAAAGCTCAATAATTTCCTTTTACAGGATGTATCGTTTTTCTCTTTTCTCGCTCTCTTTCTACCAAAACTTCAGTTTGGTATATTGGCCTGAACTAGCTCCTTTTTTTTTTTTTTTTTTTTTTTTTTTTTAAAAAAAAACTCAAAATTAATTTTTTTTTTTTTTTTCCGTTTTTTTTTTTTTTTTTTTTTTTTTGAAAAAAAACTCAAAATTAATT